TTCAAAATTCGCTATAAAATTAATTTCTTGAAGGATCCTTATGGAAATATCACCATTTATTAATAAAAGTGTCCTCTTTCCAATGAACCAACCCGTTTTGAAAAATAACTTTTAGTTTTTGAGAAAACAATATTTGAAGTTTTGATACAATTTTCGATGTAATCGATAATTTTCAAAATTCGCTATAAAATTAATTTCTTGAAGGATCCTTATGGAAATATCACCATTTATTAATAAAAGTGTCCTCTTTCCAATGAACCAACCCGTTTTGAAAAATAACTTTTAGTTTTTGAGAAAACAATATTTGAAGTTTTGATAACATTTTCATCGATAACTTTCAAAATTCGCTATAAAATTGATTTCTTGAAGGATCCTTGTGGAAATATCGCCAATTATTAATTAAAGTATCCTTTCTTTAAAGTTGCTTCGTTAGTTAAATTAGCATCAAAAAAGTTCATTTTGTATCTTAGAAATTTTAGGTTGTGCAGAGTTCCTGATCAATTTAGTTTTTCTCCACAAATTCTTTAACATCTTCAAAACATCAAACATTGGAAAAAATACTTTTGCCATGATCTATTTACTTGGACAACCAATTTTTCTTCAATGCAATCATTCAAGAAAAATTAGTAGGGTTGGGTTGAAAAATTTTGATTGTGACTTATTGTCTTGAATTTATTATTTTTCCTATGCGCTGGCAAACAGCTCACCTCTTCTTGTTTATATTATCATGATTCCGAGAAAATAATTGCTATCAAATTTCTGCAGTATCTTTATCCTTCATCTTTTGGATTTAGCTTAGATACACAGGATTTTATTTATCATCTTCATGATCGTTGTTGGACATTTGTATTTCATGACTCATTCCATTTTGTCATATTTTAAATAGACCCAACCCAAGCCAATATTTGTAAAATAAGAACAACTTTTTCTGAATTTGATGATCTCAAGTAAGAAGATGATTTGTTTGAAAAGGATTTTGGAGCATAAGCAAGCTCCACTTGAAATAGTTCCTTCTGTATCTGCAATTTTGAAAAAAAAAACTAATATGACATGAGTCCATGGACAAAATAAGTTGACATATCTTATCAGTTTTCTTATTAATTTCATTTNGAATTTATTATTTTTCCTATGCGTTGGCAAACAGCTCACCTCTTCTTGTTTATATTATCATGATTCCGAGAAAATAATTGCTATCAAATTTCTGCAGTATCTTTATCCTTCATCTTTTGGATTTAGCTTAGATACACAGGATTTTATTTATCATCTACATGATCGTTGTTGGACATTTGTATTTCATGACTCATTCCATTTTGTCATATTTTAAATAGACCCAAGCCAAAATTTGTAAAATAAGAACAACTTCTTCTGAATTTGATGATCTCAATTAAAGAGATGATTTGTTTGAAAGAGACATAAAAAATTCCAAATGAAGGATTTTGGAGCATAAGCAAGCTCCACTTGAAATAGTTCCTTCTGTATCTGCAATTTTGAAAAAAATACTAATATGACATAAGTCCATGGACAAAATAAGTTGACATATCTTATCAGTTTTCTTATTAATTTCATTTTTATTCAAATATCGCAGTAATGTGGCAATATAGGGTATCATAATGACCGGATATCCGGTATCCGGCTTTTCGCAAAATCACTATCCGTTCCATCACTAACTTGCTTCTAGTTCTAAGTCTAGTGTTAGTTTTAGCTTTAGTTGTTATTCAGCGTTAAATTGTTATAAATTTTTCATTGAACTAAAATTAAAACTAGCACAATTTTTCATATAACGAATTTTTGGCTATAAAGAACACTCCCTTCCCCATATTAATCCGTTAAATCGAGGTTTTACTTAATTACATTTATAAAAAATTTGGAGAAAACTTAATTTATAACATAAATAATATAATTTTCTTTTATTTTTAACTAACCTTACTTCTTCTTATAACAGGCGTTAAAGCATCAACATCTTCTTCCGTATCCGTAACTTGTAATCTAGAATTATTATTAACTAATCCAAGAAGAAATTCAAAACTTCGCTTTTCTCTGTTATTGGTTAAACCAGCTGGCGTTAATCGCGGTTTGTAAACGCGATTGTTCATTGCTTCGTGTGAATCTAATGGCCTCATATCGACGGTTGAATTTTGCTCAATTTCCGAACTGAAATCATCGTCCATAATCTGTAAAGATAAACGAAATTGTTATGAATTTCGCGAATTAATCTTTAAAGATTGTTTTCTGGCTTGTTAATTAGCTTAAAATTTGGGTCTAAGTTAAAACCTCAAATGGTAATTAACGAAATTCGTAGTGGAGGTCGTTTCTCGAGCTGTCTAAATGCGGTTTTGTCGACGTCTAATCGGCTTAACGGGCTTATTAAAGCGAGAACTTCCGTTAATTGCGCAACAACACAAGTTCCGGCACCCCAGGAGCTGTCTGTTTACATATTTGATGGCAACTTTAAGAATCCATCCACGAGACGTGAGAAAGCTACTATTAGAGTTAATGCAGAACCTCTTTGTCCTCTATTAAACTATGTTTTCCCCTTAACAAGCAGCCGTATTAAGCTACAAAGTTCTAAATTAAACGGTTGGCACAAAATGTTATTAAATGAAATAATATGATAAACTTCATGGTTTACTCGTGAATTAAGTTTTTGGGAATCGTATCACGATTACAACATATTCAAAGAAAAAGTGCGTATAAAAAGTATTGTAACATAAAAAAAAGAGCTCGTTTTATGAAATATTGAAGATGGTTTTACATTTGAAACAAGGTCGATAAGAACACACCCTGCGTCGTTTGTTATTTTTATGCGTCCCCCTCGTAAAAATACGTCGTGTAGTCATTGTTGTTTAGACGATTTTACGATTCACGCTACCGGAAAAAGCGTTGGGTGATGAAAATGCTCATCGTTTTTTTTTGGCTCTTTTTCGGGTGATCCATTGGGAAAACGGCCCCGTCAAATCCCTGACCGTGAATCGGAAGTGGCAACGTTGTCGAGATCGTACTGAAAACCCCTTCTTTCGTACACTTTTCCCCGGTCAATTGATATCGGATCTTTACGGATCTGAAATTGTGTCGTAAAAAATTCGAATTCCTTTCGTCTCGGACAGATATCAAGACTATATTGAGGATATTTCAAGATTTATGATCGTATTGTATAATTTTTTTCTTCAATTGTAATACAAAGTTTTTTATTGTACCTATTTGGAGTCTTTGTTGGGGTGCTCAGACATTACGAGACATTAGGAAGAGTTAGTGGGAGGTTTATTTCCATTAAAAGTTAGTGGAAGGTGATTGAAATAACTAAGATTCATTGAGTTGACGTTATTAGATTTTACATTAAGATTGTTAGCATGAATATAAGTGTATTAGTCAAACTATTTTATATAACTTGGTAATTTAACGACCATTAAACATACAGCTTTATAGGAACTTATATAGACATATCGATCGAGAATAAGTTTTTAAAGTTGTAGATAATTCATAAGCTTTCGATTACGAGTGGGTATTTCGAAAATCGATTATACCATTACGTATTAATGCAACATCGAAATGTTTGACATAAATAATTCAACACTATTCGCTTTTGTAGCTTTTAAAATATTAACTGACCCTCATTTTATAATAATAGCAACACGAACATTAAATCTTTCCTTTATAATCACAAAATTATTTCAATATTGTTATTGCGTGCAAGTATAATATTTAAAGCTTTTATTAAAATTTGAAAAGATGATACCAGTTTGCACAACTTGGTCTAATTGGATAGAGTACCTATCTTTTTCTTTCACATTACAAAAAAACTTACAATTATTTTAGTACATACTTTTTAGTGTTGACTACGAAACAGGTTCCGCTCCTGGTCATTTACAAGCTATTTTTATAGTCAAATGTGAATGTGGAGCTAAGCCACTTTGTATTATTTTTTCTCGTTCACTGGCTTATTGAGTTTTTCCACCGTGTGAAAGAAAGGCTTTGATCTATAAGTCGGGTTAAAAGAACTTACTCTATCGCCCTATTTCGATTCTAACAATAATACATAAGGTCTTTGAAAATTATAGGTAAGTGAAGACTTATTTAAAGCCTTAAAAGCTTTGAAACGTAATAAGTTAAGATAATCGTGTTTCCATTAGATGGTATCGACTCGACGATCTGTATTAATTAATTATCGTACCCGACGTCATCATTGCAAGTATGCAACCAATATCACAGCATTTTTATTGCAATACGCGATTTGCGTATGATGCGTATTGCACTGTGATATTGGTTGCATACTTGCAATGATGACGTCGGGTACGATAATTAATTAACACACTGTAGATGGTCTCTACTATTACACTGTTTAGTTTTTAAAGTTCAATAATTAAATTAAATTCAATTATTCATTTATACACATAGAAAATCCAGATGATAAAATTTTCAAATCAAAACATATATACTTTGAATATTTATCTTTAATAAAATCTTTCTCTCTCAAAAAGCTTTTAAAACCATGAAAAATAAGGCACATACACATATATGTACGTTTTATTGTAGTTTAAAAAAAAAATACGTTTGAACGATACAAATGTACGTATAAGGGGTTTCGCAAATCGATCTGCAAATACCTCGTCTGGCAGCATCTACCGCTTTGTCGAAGCTTGGTGGTTGTTCTTCGCGCGAGGGGTTGTGTGCAAAGCTGCGATACCGAAACCCTCGAGGATGTGTATGGATATCGCGGGAGGGGAATGCGACTCGTCGCGAAATATAAAAGCGGAGAGCATCCCGCGTCGTGTGCATGAAATATGAAGTGGCCGTGAAAACGTCAACGTTTGAATCCGAAATGTTGTGTCTGCGTTGATGTATATTGTAAACGTTACTGAAGATATACGAACCGAAAAGAAAAATCGTTGAATCTTGACGTTTCAATAAATCTTTGTATCTATTCTTATAAGGTATTCATGTGACATTTTGACTTACATTTTTTATATTAAATTTTTAATTTTTTATGGAATTTGAGGAAACCGTTTATGATCTCAATGTTCTTATTGTAAAGATCACATCGAATGTTTAAAAAACGATTTAAAGAAACAGATTTTTTTGGTCGAAGATATGCGGGTAAAGTCGTTAAGGATATCACTTCAAAACTTCCAAAATTAAAAAAGTTTACATGTGTCGTACAAAATCTAGCAAATACATAGTTTAGAAAGCGCTGGGATTTTATACAGGGTGGTCCATTTAAAATAAATTTTAACATCAATTAATAATTTAACTTTTGGAATTATATAAGACAGAAAACAACGACCTCTCGATTTCCTGGAAAAATGATGCGTGATAAGTCCACCTACACTGATCCTGAAAAAATAGTTAATGCTTTTGCAGATCAATTCTCTGGAGTATATTCTGGTGTCTCTGCTTATAACATGGTTGATGTACACTCCACGTATCCTCCAGTATTTGTTGCCGATGTCACCGAAGAAGAGGTTCTTCATTTCCTAAAAAGGTTACCTAATAAATTTACTGCTGGTGATGATGATCTTCCTACATTTTTCATTCGTGATTGCTGTGCAGTTTTTGCAGTTCCGCTTCATTTAATAATTAACCTATCCTTAAGCACTTGCTCGTTTCCTAAACTTTGGAAGCGCTCACGCATTGTTCCTGTATTCAAGCATGGCGAACGTACCAACATTACTGATTATCGACCAATATCGTTATTGTCCAATTTCGCTAAGGTATTTGAACAGATTATTTACAAGATGATTTATCCACAGGTTCAGTCATTTGTGTCACCATATCAGCATGGGTTTATCAAGCGTCGTTCGACCATTACCAACCTCGCGGTGGTTACTGAGGTAATTTGTGAATCTTTGGATAGGGGCGGTCAGGTAGATGTGGTATACACTGATTTTTCTAAAGCATTCGACATGATTCATCATGACGTCCTCTTGTATAAACTTAGTGCTTTTGGCTTATCTCCTAAGTTTATGAAACTATTTGCCTCTTACCTATCGGGTCGTATAAATTATGTGTACTACAACGGTTATGCGTCTATGGAGTTTACGGCTAGGTCTGGTGTTCCTCAGGCTCAAATCTAGGCCCCCTACTATTTGTTATCTTCTTGAATGACCTTCTAGACAAATTTTCATCAAGCGTACTAGCTTATGCGGATGATCTGAAACTATTCCGACCTATTTTTGCGGACCGTGATATTGTCAGTCTTCAGTCGGATTTGGACGTCTTGGTGGAATGGTGTAACCGTTATCAGCTAAAGATTAATGCCAATAAGTGCGGTGCGGTTAGTTTTACACGCAAGCTGTCTCCTCTTCCATCTTCTTATTATATAGAAGGTGTTCTTCTTGAGAAACTATCTACAATCAAGGATCTGGGAGTAACTTTTGACCGCAAATTGTCTTTTGTACCTCACATCGAAAATATTGCATCTTCTGCAACGAGGATGCTTGGTTTCGTTTTGCGCACCTCGCGTGCTTTTTCTGGTATCGGTGTGTACAAGACCCTATTTTCGACCTTTGTATTGTCCAAATTGGAATATGGCTCTGTAATTTGGTCGCCACATTATGTGTGTCATAGACTTATATTGGAGAGAATTCAGAGGAGATTTCTCAAATATTTGTCTCTACGCCTGGACGGATCATACCCGGATCGTGGAATGGATTACGCATCCCTGCTGCGGCGTCACAATTTTTCTGCACTAGACGTAAGAAGAGATGACCAGTGCATCAAGTTTTTGCAGAAGTTAGTGCAAGGTGAATTGGATTGTGGTTGGTTGTTGTCGCGGATCATTTTCGCGGTGCCTACGCGTGCAACACGTAGTACAAATCAGTTTTATTTGAGGAAGTGCAGATCCAATGTTTTAGCCAACTCCCCGGTGCAAAGGATGTGTGAACTAACTAACAATCAATAATAGTGTAAGAGTGTTTATGTGAATTATATTTGTTTTATGGCATGTGTCATTTCTTATTTCTTATTTTCTTTTTCTTGTAATATTGTCCTGTAATTGATCTTTGTTGGGCAATAAAGTGAATTATTATTATTATTATTATTATTTAATTCGATGAGGTAATTTTTACATAAAAATGAACCAAATGAAACTTTGGCAAATGAACATTAACCTTGGCCGGTTAATGTTTGGTGTGGCATAATTGGTGATAAATTAATCGGTCCATATTTTATTGATGCT